GGCCCCCCCCGCCTGAGGCTGGGGAGATGGTAAGAGGGGAAGGTACTGGCTGGAGTGAGGTGCAGGCACAGCAGGCACTGGGCTACATCACAGCTCTGCTAGGGAATGCCTCCTACCATGCTGGTGTCAGTTTTGGCTCCAAAAGAAGGGATTTCACTCTTGGGACTGGATGGGGTCCCAACATCTGGCTGGATAAATCCTCTTCTGTCTATCAAACTGGAAAACAGAAAGGGAAGGGCGCAAGGGGAGAGGAGTTAAGGAAACGTGAGCTCCCATCTTCGCGGATTCTTCAAGCCACAGAGAGGGCTCTCCCCGTGGGAACCACTAACCAGAGCATCAGCAGGAGCGCACGGGATAACACAGCTTCCTGCCCATTAGACAAACCACACAGTTATCACACGAGCCACCAGACAGCCTTGAGGCAGTTCAAGCTTTGGGTCACCACAAACCCAAATGGGAACTGGCGAAAGGTCTTTGCAACGGGAAAACAACACGAATGAGGAAAGAGCTGGAGTAAAACATTATTCTCCCCACAACCTCCCAGCAAATAGCTCAGCTCCCTGAATCCAGAGAGTTACCATCTCTTGAGTGGCAGCACTGGCATTTTGGCACCTCTGAAAGCTAAAAAAGTCTGGGGGTACTTCAGAGAGCAGGACCAGATATAAGTGTAAAACACGCTTTGAGTCTGGCTACACAGCCTGACACCCTCCCCTGCCGTTGTGTCACACCGAGTTAGCACCTCTGAGATGCTCCACATAAATCCTAACTGGATCCAGTGAATTAACTCGTCTCAAGGATCTCCACATGCCCTAAGATGAGCTGAGAGCTCCAAGCCAGCGGGCAGGTCCTCAACTCCTGCAGTGCAGCGTGAAGGGCCCGACTCTGCCCAATTGCACCCTCTTGTGACACAGCAGCGATCACCCTGTGCTGCAGGTACCTGCAGGTACCGCGCTCCGGGCCCAAAGCTCCCTCATACCCGCAGCAAACGCGGGTTTGAACGTCGCTCCTGGTTAACTCACAGCTAAGAACATTTGGTAGGACGCTACTAAGCGTTCCGGGTAATCCAAGCGTTGGTGAATCCCCGGGTTTTCACACTGCCTCGTGCAGTTCTCTGCTGGCTGCTCGCCACGATGCTCCATCCTCAGAGGACAGGAGGAAAAACACATGCTAGGAAGTCCTGCCACTATTTACCATCTGCTGCCGAGCCCTTTGGTGCCGTTATTCCCCCACTACTGAATCGCAGGATGTGTCTTATCCACGAGCTCCAAGACACAATTACGAGTGACCCAAACTTGCCAAGCCCCAACGCAGCAGAAGCAACGGTTCCATCTCTTATACGTTTCTCCAGCTGCTTTCTGCAGAAACTGGGGAATTCCTTCTCCATCATCATGGGAGCAGATGTGCTTGTGCTGACGCAGTCTCCCCTGAATCGTGATAAATCTGTTCCTTCCAAGGCTCCTCTCGCAGAGCGGGACGCAATTCCCAACGCCATGGAGGTCAAAGGCTCTTACCTGGGATGGAACGGTCCGCACAGCACCGCACAGCAGTTTGTGAGGATACTTTTATGGCTGTAGGGATTGGCAAACTCTGAGCCCCTCTTATTTGACCAGGACCCTTTGATCTGAAAGGGAAAGGAACATGCAGATTAAGACAGGAAATACGTGACAGCGGATAGTTACACGACAACGGACTCGGTTCAAATCGTGGCTCAAGAGGTGGAAGGCTTGTCTCAAAGCAAAGAGAGGGAGGACGTTTGCAGGAACAAGCAGGACAGCTGCAGAAAGGTGGCCAGAGGAGACAGCAATACGCTGCTCCTGCCTCTGCCAAGGTTCACCCTTGCAGCTAGAAAGCTCCAGCGTGCCCTCCCCGTGCTGCACAGCAACTTCTCAATGTCACTGTCACCAACACCAGCTGCCTCCTCCTCCTCCTCCCCTCGTTCTTTATTAGGCTGAAGGCTCATCAAAGCAGGGCTCCAGCCCATGGTCCCTCCTGGGCTCCTCGGGCTGAACAAACAGCAGGGGGATTCCAGGCCACGCTGCGACAGGAGGAAACAATCTCATCTGTCCCCACCCCGAGCAGCTGCTGGTGGGACTCTGGTTTCGAAGCCTCGGTCACATCAAGCGGAGGCGCACACGAGGGGGCAGACGCTATACCTGGCCTCAGGCCCCCGGCTGCAGCGAACTGTTTGCCATTACGTTTCCTCCTTTTGTTTTTACTTCCCCTCCCCAGCTGCAGCACCAGGTGGGCAACGCAGCCAGAGAGGCAACGGGCCACATGCTTCGGCCTTGGTGCCCTCAGTGCCATGGTGCGACCTCCGTTAGCTTCGCTTACGCAGCCTCACGCATCTCCACCAGCACCTCTGCACGTAACAGAAAGGTGGAGAGGAAAGGAGAGGGAGGGGAAAAAAAAAAAAAGGGATGCAAACCTGCCTTCTGCAGTGCTGGAAGCTCCCAGCAAGGATTATAGGTACTTCTGCCCAGAAGGGTGAATTTAAGATTCCGAGGATCAGACAGATCCTGCTTTTCCGTACAATCTGCCCAGCTCAGGGTGCTGGTTTGGCCCCTGGAGTCTGCAGGCGCTCCAGACTTTGGGGTAAATCTCATCAGGAGATGTCTGCACATTATTTGCCTATGAGACATGAGGAACTGGCAGAGGTGAAGGGACTTGCCCAGGGTCTCGAGGGAAGCCTGTGGTTATGCGGGACGCTGAATTAAGATCACCCATGTCCCAGCCCAACACTGAAATAAATCTCTGGGGCCAGCCTTTCTTTTTTAATCTCAGAACTCCTAATTTTAGGCAAGGTCACACACAGACTGGAAAAAACACACACATGACTTTTCTAACATTTCAGTGCACGACTCCCACAGCCTGACGCTGCCAAGCAACACGTGTTGCCCAGTGCCCTGCTGCTGCGTGCTGCTTTGCCCCCACTCAGCTACCTGCAGCCTCAATGTCTCAGGCACGGGCCGTTTGCTTGGCAGTGGGTTATCACGGGCGATGCAGGCAGCACGCGTTAACGAGATACTGCATCGAGGCAGGCAGCCAAGGATGCCCCGAAAGCCTCACCTCTGCTGAGGAAGGACCAGGGCTGGCCCTGCGGAAGGACAAGTGTTCAGGTACTTACATCTTCGTTCGTTGTCAGGTTGGAGGCGACTAAGTAAGTGTGAAAACCTGAGAGGCCCAAAATAGACCAGACTGAGAAAAAACAAATCACCAGCTCCAGCACAGTGAAAAAAAAGTCAAGGAAGTCTCAGGGAACGAAATCATAGAATGATAGGATGGTTTGGGTTGGAAAGGACCTCAAAGATCATCTAGTACCAACCCCTCTGCCATGGGCAGGGACACCGTCCACTACAGGAGAGGCAGAAGACTGTTTTGGGAAGTATGTGCTGTGACCACACATACTGGGCCACAAAAACATCCCAGCAAGCTTCCCATTCCCTGTGCCACTCTGCAGGCATCCACCAAGGCACAGCCTGCTCCAGCCACTCCCCTTCCATGTAAACTTGTAAACTAGGAAACAAGTTTGTCACCCACTCTCAGTTCCTGGCAGTGAACTAAATAAGGAATTAAAGGTCTTCCCAATTTGTGATGTTGCCAGCCTACAGATGAAGAGGTGCCTGTCTGCCCCAACCAGGTAGCCAGGGGACTAAATTATGTTGTGGGAAGTACATGAAGGTGACCCTACAAAGAGCTTACTGTGCTTCTGTTACACAATCAGCATTGCTGCACCAATGCCCAACAGCCTGCGCGGCCGACGGCATCAGAAGGATATCTGGCAGGTGTCGTCTTCAGAGTGATGAGGAATCCGTCTCGCTGAGAGCCTGCAAAGCAAAACAAGACACGGAACGACGTCACACCGGGCAGCCTTGCATCTCCAGCCAACGCTTCACTCCCATCACGCAGCCACCCCGCTGTGGGCCATATGGATCTGCCTGGCTGCCTGGGAAACATCTGCAGTCTGTAACTCTGCAGAAATGTCAGCGCACAGACACGGCTCCAGGAGATTTGGGGCTGACAGGCAAGTCACCTTCCCCACCAGGTTAAGAGTGGATGCACCCACCAGCTCATTCGCTCTGGAGGGGATAACCCAGCAACTGGCACTCAAGGTCTCTCCGCAGCGCGGTGCAGGGTGGATCTGTGATTCCCTGCAGTCTGAGACCCCGTTTATTCAGGCCACCTGCACCGAAAAGCCTGGTGTGAACCAAGCAGACCCCTCCCACGCTCTCTGTCCAACAGGAATAGTGACCCAGTGCTGCCTCAAGTCGTTCATGGCCAGGAGAATGGCATGCACCGCCGCTAGCGCCCGCGGTACTTACGCAGAGTGAGGTGGGTGACAACGCAAGCGAAGATGAAGGCTGTCAGGAAGGAGAGGGAGAGGATGAAGGCATAGAAGTAGCGATAGTTGCGCTTCCCCACGCAGTTGCCCACCCAGGGGCAGTGGTGATCAAACCTCTCTGAAACAAAGGGACATGGTGAGGACTCCTGCTGCCTCGCACCCCGTAACGGAACGAGCTCTGCTGAGCGTCCGAAAACCAGGAGCTACAAATCGAGTTTCCACCCACCACCCTGAGAGCAGAACCCCTCTGCAGCAGTTCGTTAGCAAGAAGTTTCAACAGAGCACTGCCGCCTGCTCACATGCCCTTTTTTATCATCAAAGGTCCAACCATTCCTCTCACCAAGCCCTGCCTAAATACCAGTCTTGTGACTGGTAACATCTACCATTACTAAAACTGAAAGACAGCAGGGAGAACGTGGCAGTTTTTCCAGCACCCAGCAGCACTGGGTGTGCGCCCGCAGCATCGCTGCTCCCTTTCTGTGTGGCAGCTCCCCCCGCCTTCTTCAGGGCAGAAAATAAATTTTCAAAGTTCTAAAGATGCGCCTCTAAAACCACAGAAACTGCCTGGGAACCCAGGGCTGGTGCAGCCTGTCCGGAAACGCTCCTGCCTGGCTTGTAATGAAAGGGCTGCTCATTTCAGAGTAACAGGACTGCAGGGGACACCAGTGCGAACAAAACCCATTGCACACAAAGCAGGCACATGTCCGCTCCCCCAGACAACTCCTCTCCAAACACTGCTCCAGCCACGGCCGCTTTCCAGCGAGCCGTTCCGGCCTAAGGAGGAGTCACAGCCACCCACAGCTATCCCCAAAAACATAATTCTTGGCAACTCCCAAACTTCTTTTCTTAAGCAGAGTCCTGGGGGCCTGTGACTGCTCACAAGTCGGTTGCTCCTCGGGCTGCCCCAGCAGACAGCGTAAAGCACAGCCTCCACATCCACGTGGTGCACAACCAGGAGCAGTCGCATGAGGAGATGAGGAGTAAACTCTCTGGGCACGTCCCTAAACCACGTGTCACCCTGCTGCCAGTTCAAGTTGCCCCGGTGCAGCCAGGCTGTGCTGGGAACATCCCTGCCCACCCCTCTGTGGCTGTCTCATGCCTGCGTAGAGCCATCAGAGACTTTTCTTCAGGTCTCTGCTCACGCCCGGCTGCCCCACCAGTCTGATGGCACAGCAAGAGAACACAGAAGAGTTCAACCAGCATCTATGGTGGTGCCTCTACCGGCCTAGTAACAGCAAGGCCACGGACAACAAGCAGTCTGCAGCAAACCTTGTGTGTGATAGAGGCCTTAACCACGTTTCATGGCACAGTCCTCCCAGAACCAGGGAAAGCAGAGACATGGAGTCCAACACACACACACACAGAAGAAAGGAGCACTTTTCCACTTTCCGTGCTTACCAACACAGTTGTCGCAGACACTGCAGTGAGAGGTGCGAGGAGGGCGGAACATTTTGCACGTGTAGCAGTACTTGAGCTTCACCACGTACTTGTTGATGACCACTTCCATCGTGCGGGCCGGCGGGCGATAGGTAGAGGTACCCATGCTGTCTGCAAGGGCAAGGAGGGACAGTCAGACTGGTGCAGGTGAAACCCAAACCCCCATACCACACCGAGCTGCTTCCTGGCACGGTAAGGAATTGGCACGCACTCTCCTGACTGGAATCAAAAGCAGAGAGGCAGCTCAGCCTGCAGGATTTGTTGCAGAGTGGGCAGCCAGCAACTCCAGTCAGCTCCTCGCAGCATTATTTATGTCCTCTCCTTGTCTGTTCAACGGCAATGCTGCTGGGATGCCAAGAGGAAGCAATATCTGCCCAACGCTTTGAGAACATAAAGCAATTCATAAATGGTGACCATAAAAGCAGCCGCGTTAGCGCGCCCAGTAACACCAGCTCATCTCTGCGTGTCTAACGGATCACAACACAAGGAGGCAACACAATCTGGTAACGCACGTGTGGTTCCTCCTCTTCCATTCGTATCCAAGTTATAGAAACCAGGAGACGGTCACGTTCGGGTAACCTCAGCAGAAGTGTCCCCTGCCAGCGCACAACTCGCCAACCCGCAGCCGGAGCCAGCGGCACCGGCACCGCCGGGCTCAAGGGACTCATTTCCATCACAGCGGGAGAGGACAGCCAGCAGGTCTCAAGTGCTCCAGGCAGATTTCATTGGGATTTGCCACGTGTACGGTAGTAGCACAAGAGGATTCTGCCTCCTCAAGGTCGAAATTGAGGATTTTTAGGGACACTGCAAGTTGCATCTGTGTGTGGTGGCACTTGGCTATTCATCAGGGACTGGCAGCTGGAGACTGTTTCTCTGCTCAGCAGAAGTGTGAGCTGGAAAACCTCTGTATCACATCTGCAGTTTTGGGGGTTATTCCCTTATTTTAGTTACTCTTAAAAGAGCACCTTTCCAAATCCAGGGAAGTCTTTGAAAATAAGAGATGCAACAGTGAGCATGTTAAGAGGATAATAAGTGGATTATATTAACAGTAACAGCTGGCACATCAGGCAGCATCTGCAGCCAGATTACTGCTTTAGGCACTTATAAATAGAAACACGGATAACCACTCTGAGGATATTTCAGAAACGCTTTTTCAGTCAGATGTACAATTACTGCCTTGAAACTGTCTTCAGTGGGGCAGATTCAAGCTGTCTCACATTAGATTTGCTATCATCCTACGTCCTCACCACCTGTATTTTGCAGGGTCAGATTCCTCTGAGTTTGGACAACATTTCAAGTAACTAATTGTCGTGGACCAGGACACTAATGCCCCGCTACGGAGCGGCACAGACACGCTGGCTTGGTCTTCAAGAGCCTGGCAGTGAGACTCTGAAGGGGCACTTTGTGCTCCCCCAGCCGCTGGTACGCTGTTCCTGCTGCCTCTACGGATCAAGTCCACCAGTCTTGGGGGCTTTCTGGCTGCAATTCCGGACCAGTTCTCCCCTCAGTAGCAGGAGGGGAGACTGGGGGAGGTATTTAGAGACCAGGAGGAGACCTTGGGAAGATGTTAAACCCCTTCCCAGGGCCAGACTGAGCAAACATGGCCCATTGTCACCCCTCATGATATCCGTGTTCAGGACACCGATGCCACAAACCCTCCCTCCCCTGAGCTCTGGGAGCTGCCCAATCCAGTGTCATCCCGAGGGCAGGAACAGGTACAGCCCAAACCCACTGCCCAGGGCTGTGCCTGGGAAAGCGACGGGACAAACAGAAAGGAAAATCACCCCTGCTACTCTGCAGAACCTCTCAGAGGCACTGCCTGCTGTGCTAGAAGAGCTTGTAAGACCTCTCTCACCAGGACTCATAAGACACCGTCAAGCCTCATGATCTGATACTCTGGCCTTTTCTCCAGAGGCTCACTGAGCCTGAAATGTGTGTGGTGCACACACACACCCCCACACGCAGGCAGGCACTCGACCGAACACAGCGGAGGGAACAGAAGTCTCACCGATCCGCTTTTCCAGGTCTGCAGCCTCACTTGGAGTGGCTCTGGGCAGGATACCTGGGTCTCTGAAGCTTGTCTGGAGCAGGCAGCTGATGACAAAGAAGAAGAGGATGGCTGCAATGATGGGGATGGCCAGGGTCAGGTGACGGGCAAGGAAGGGGCAGCTGTTAAAAGGAAAAAAATCGCGTTGTTAACAACCATCGCTACCAAACTGGCTATCAGCAATGACGTTACACACCATGAATTATCCCAGGGTGGCAGGCTGAAGCACTTCTGCTTCGCAGAGACCTCTGGAACAGCAAGACCCAGCCCAGAAAACACTGGAGCAGCACTGGGAGGACAGGGTCTTTGGCACAAAACCAGCAGTAGAAGCCCCTGCACGCAACCTCTTTGCCCTTCTGAAGTCCCAGAATCGTGTTTCAAAAACCCATCAGCTGCCCCAAAGCCTGGTCACCTTCTACAACAGCAGCACCAAGAACACATGGAGAAACACCTCAAGCCAAGCAGGGATAGAAACTGGCATGAATGCCATTCCGTTTGGTCCAACATGTGAAGCCAAGAGGGAACTTGGCTTCGATTCAACGCAGCTTTGCTGTCTCTGGATGACTCGGGTGCCCTCCGTGGTGTGCCAGATGTTTGGACGGGGACATTGCAGCGCTGACACCACTGTGACAAGCCACCGGGCGTCTCAGCAGACGATGCCCGCTCCTGGGCTCAATGTGCCACAACCTGGGGCTGATTTTCCACAGACAGGATCGCACTCCACATCGGAGCAGCTCTGTTACTGGCAGCACGACAGGTGAAGACGGCCGAGGAACACAGCTCTTCGCACGGCGTGGTGCCGGAGACCCCTCCGCTCCCTCGCTCCGCAGAGGATTTGCTATTCTAAGCACCGATAAGCACCCAGGCAATCTGCTCGAGCCCTGATGTCTGCGGGCTGCGAGGCAGTTTGAGAGGATTAAGCAACTTCTGTTTCAACTCCTAAGCTCAGCTGTCCAGAACAAAGCAGCCACCAAGCAACAAAACCCCCTTCGGCCTGAGACCAACGCTTCTGCCGAGCCCCTCGGTCATCTCCCTGACGGAGGGACAAGAAAGGTCTCTGAAATGAGAGACGTGAGCTTTGTTGCCCCTCCTTTTCTGGGAGAATCTCTGGATGCTGCTTTCCCCTGTCAGGCAACAAGAAATCACATCAAAAAACACGAACTGTAGACACAGGCAAGATGTATTTGCCATACGTCTAGCAAACCATAACCCACGCAACAGCAGCACACCACTAAAATAACAACTTGGAAAGCCCCAGGGCATCTTCAACCAAGAAAGAGTGACTAGGCAAGCAGGGAGGGGAGAGCAGATGCCCTCTGCTTGGCCCCATACAAAGCAGTTACTGTGCCCGTGCTGCCCGTTGGTTTCAGATGCAGCAGAGAAAGCTGGCAGAGAGGCACAGACGGCACTAAGAATGGAGTTTTTGCGTCGGGATGCCGTTACTGCCTCCCACAGCTGCCTGCCCCTTTCAGCTCATCTGACTTCTCCGAACGTCTAATCCGATCAAATACCTTCATCTCCCCGCCCGCAGGCTTGGGCAGCTTTGCTCTGAGACTCGCGGAGATAAAGCCGGGATCCAAAGGCAGGCATGGCCCTGCTTCGTGCAGCGGCAGGAAAAACAAGCTCCCCTCTCTCCTGAGACAGGATGGCAGAGGCAGGATGGCAGGAGCCCTTGGAGGTGTCCGTAACCAACGGTGCTCCTTCCCTGGCTCCTCCGGGCAGCGCGGGACGTAACGGGGTGCTCTCGGCTCTCCCTTCCCTTGGGGTGCAGGAGTGAGATTCCCAGGGCCTGCTTTCCTAAAGCAACGGGGACTGGGGGAGATGCAGCTCCCTCTTCCCCGGATACTGCTGCACAATGAGGGCAGAGGTGGGACCCCAAAGAATTTCACCATTTACCAGGCACCTTTAACACAAACGCTGTTCCTGCCGCCTCTATGGATCAAGTCCACCAGTCTTGGGGGCTTTCTGGCTGCAGACCAGTGCTCCCCGCGGGAGCAGTAGGGGAGACTGGGGGAGGCGTTTAGAGACCAGGAGGAGATCTTGGAAAGATGCTAAACCTCTTCCTGGAGCCAGACTAAGCAAACATGGCCCAGTGTCACCCCTGCCCACCCCTCCTGCCCCCCACACAAACACACCGGGGACAGGCAAAGGGGAAGCAGAGACCGTCTGCAAAGGGGGTCTGGGGGCTGTGCAGCGGG